CAAACAGACTTCCTTTTTTTTTTTTGGGTCAGCATATTAAAAATCCCCGCCATACAATACGATTTGTGAAAAGAGAGAAAAAAAGTTGAAGTTAGTGCAATGTGTCCAAGAAGTGCTGAAATGAAGAATCTGTGAGTAGTCCGAACAGAATTTTCAGTTCCTGGAGATCACAGCTGACCATAGCAAACACTCTTGAAAAATACAGGAAGTGTTTATTACTGAAAAAGGATTTGTTGTTACTCATTTGTGCATTGCTGGGTTGGGATTTTCAGTGCTTTTTTTAAAGAGTCTTCTTTCATGTTACAACTTACACTTTCAACAAAGCTTTAGCTCCAGGAGAGGAATGTGTACTTGGGCATATGTAAATATTTGCCTAAATCGTAACCTCTTTTACAAGTCCTATAAAACAAAAATAAATGCATATATATTGCATGTACTATGAGAATATGATCCGAATACTTTACAGGCCTTAACTTACTAGATACTCATGAGTAGCATTTTCTGAAATAGGTAAAGAGACAGCTGTCTTTATTAAACAGCAGGTGATGGCTTGAAAGACAAAAACATCTTATTGTGAAAAACAAATTGTTGCCCCCAAATGCCTAGAAAGCAAATTATTTGAAAAAAATAAGTCTCATTATGCATTTTGAATCTCAGAAGGAAAAAATATTTGTAGTACTATTTTCACTGAAGTTGACAGTAGTCCAGCAGGAGCAAAAGTTGTTTGTCGATGTTAGATTGGCACCAAAACCTTCTGTCAGGTGTACTGCTTTTTACTAGTGGAGTGGTATTGCCACATTGTAATGTATCTCTCTTCCTTGGTTGCATCAGGATTACCCAGTGCCTTCCAGAACACAACTAGCTACGTGGTATAGCTGCTGTAACGAGGCAGAACCTCAGTTGAGTGTAAAGTGTTTGGGGTACAGTTGCAGGTATGGGAGTTAAAAGTCCCTTGGTTGGCTTCTACCATTTATTTGAGGAGCAAATGTAGGGGAGCTAATCCTCTGATTTCATTTGTAGGCAGCAGGATTCAGACCCATTGAGGGAGACCTCAGAGGGTTTTTACTCTGTTGCTTTGTCCATTGTGCCTCGACTGGGTGAGGCGTTTGTGGAAACCTCACTTGCTGCTAGGAGGGGCACTGCTGATGGCTCTGGAGATCAAGCCTGTGCTATGGCTGCCACTGAAAGCCACAGGTCCTCTGGTGCAGCTTTTGCAGCCACTGACTGCTCCTCATGCTTGTAAATCACTGCACTGGGGGAAATTGGAAGGTGTTGTGAAGCCCACGGGTGTCACAGCCTGGTGGTTTGTTAGGTGTCAAAGTTAAGATCCTTTCAAGGAACTCTGGTGTCACAGAATGCTGAATATCTTGATCTTGCCTTCACTTTCCAGAGTGACTAAATAGCGATTTTCCTTACTGAGATATTCTTGATTTTGTGTAGACAAAAATCATAGAGGAAAAAAAAGTCTTATCATTTTATGTCTTTGTAATGAATTCTTCATTGTGTAGGAGAACATACTGCTGGGAAAATGAATCATGATGCATTGTATAAACAGTGAATCCTCTTTTTGTCACATTTGCAGCTTTTACATCTCTTCAGATACTTTTATTTGCCGCTTTTCAAGGAAGTAGCTAGATTAGTCGCTGAGCTGTAAATAATAGTAAAACTTCTTTAAAAACAGTCTTGCTGTTAATGTGGAGGTGTATTTGAAAGTTTTAGTAATTTTCCACAATCTCTTCTTTGCTGCTAACTTGTGAAAGAGGGAACAAGAAGTTCACATCTTCATTCATGTACAGACGGAGGTAAAAAGCTTAATCCTTCAGCGATAAATGTAAAGGCTTCATTTATGTCCTTCTATCACTTTCTTAAATTGCACCCAGAACACATTCTCCAAGCTCAGAAAATCAAGGCAAAATGTTTAATAGCTATCAAAGCTGTTTAACATGGAGGTGGTGAAGCGTTTGGAGCTCTGTGGCACTGCACAAACCTGTTACAAAATCTCCCCGGGTCACCCCCTAAAAGCACAGCGCCCTCTAAAAGTACCGCGGGAAGGCTCAGCTTGCGGTCCTCATCCATGATCAGGTGGTGAGTGAGAAGAGAAGGAGAATCCAGATGCATTAATAATCCTCAGAAACCTCTGCACTCCTGCCTCGGTATCCCTAATGGTTCAGCTAGTGCATGTAAAAGCTGAAATCAAAATCTGTGCTGTGGATGGGAGCTCCTTAAGCGCTCCCTGCCCATGGTGTCAGGGGAGGGCAATTGCCAGCGCTCTGAGCTTCTGTCCTGGAAGTCTAAATTAAGAACAAGCCTCTGGGCTGCTGCTAGGCCTGCAGGAACTTCTCAGGCTTTGTCCTCACTCTGTAACTGGCTGACCTGAGCTGCCCCCAGCATACAAATTCTCTGTACCACGCTGTCAAAACAAATTACTAAATATCAGGCAGCACCACAGAGGAGACAGCAGCCAGGATCTCAGCGAAAGTAAAAGGTTGTTCTCCCATGCTTGCTGATAAACTAAGGCGGACGAAAGTTTTTGGCAGGAGGGGAACTTTCCCCCTTCTTCAAATGTTGCACGTTGCAGCTCATGCAGGCTTTGGGGATAGGGGTCGGAGGGCTGAGCATCGCTCATGGTGGAGAGCACAGGCACAAACCAGGAGGGAAGCCGTGTCGGGAGTCGATGCCTGGTGCCCCATTTCTCCTGCTGTATGATCTGAAGGGTGTGGGCACCCAAGGTCTCCATCCGCATCAGCAGCAGGGCTGGGAGCTGCCCTGGGATCTGGGGACACTGTTTTGGCACCGCCGTGGCTGTGCCTGGTTTTCTGCTTACCGCTCTGTGGCGGAGCTGTGGGTTATAACGGGGTGACTGGTCTGGTGGTTACACTGACTGTGAGCACTGTACCTAAATGCCTTCAGGGAAGGTGGACAAGTGGATGGGAGCAGGCACGGAGTCTGCTGTTTGAATAACAAAAGAGTAGCTCCCAGGTAAATCTGGACTGATGCTCCTTAGGTGGTTCATAGCATCTTCAATTACTGATTTCTTTTTTTCCCCCTTGACCTGTGAATATCTCCTTCACCTCCCACATACTGCTTGTGTACCATCTCTTCCTTACAGCCTGCTCTGTTGCTTTCTTACAGGAATGTGTGCTGGATCTGAATCCATTAGTGCTTAATGGGCTAGATATTTAAAGCTTGACAGTAGGTTATGTCCCTGTATTCTTCTAAATGAATACTATTGAGATATTTATAAATCAGATGTAAATTTGTTTAAAATGCCACTAAGTTAATGTGCTTCTACTTGCTTGAAGTGTGTAGTTCATCCGAATTAACCAGGAAGGTGTGGACAGGGACATTTCAGTGGAGGGACAGAATAAGGAGGAAACCTTGTTTCCATTTTTCGACCTCCTGGGTAGCCTGACATTTAAGAGGATACCAGCTTTCCAATAAAAATACAAATGAGGAAATTTCTTTAATTGGAGCCCGTTACGCAAAGCCTTCTCAGAACAGCCCGGACTAATGCAGGCTTGAATGTTAAATGCCCATTAATACTGGAAAAGCACTTTGTGAAGGGGCCTGGGACTTCATGCTCTGATTTCCCCATATCCCACTTGGTGGCTTCTGGACTCGGTGCCCGTTCCTGAGGCTGGCAGAGAGGCAGAGGTCTCGGGGACCTCACACTTTGACATACTTCTTGAAAAGTGACAGGTGTTTAGCCAGGGAAACCCAAATGAGATGCCCAAATGAGGGATGGGCAGGTAGTGTTTAACCCATTAGCTGTCCTCAGAGGCACCCAGTGCTGCTGCTGGCCTTCAGGGATGGAAGCAGGGAGGAAAAGGGGATCGGGGGCATCAGGGGAGGCAGCCAGCAGCACTGAGGAGGAGGACAGGCTTACCATGTGGGCACGTAATACAAGGCTGAAGAGAAAAAAGCTTCCGTAGTCCTGCTGCTCATAAAATGTGTTGCTTTTCATTTACAGTAAACCATGCAAGCTGATACCAAAATCTGCCAGAAATCCATGTCTTTTTATTTTTTAGAGTGATTTGCAATTTACTGTGTGCTTTTTGAGCGTTTTCAAGGAGAAGGTTGCTTTATTTTATTTAGAAGTGAGTCCACTCAGTTGCCTGTGTACTTTGGAGATAAAATTAGAACAGTGCTCTTCAGTCCATTACCCCAGTTTTATTTCATGTCTTTACTGAAGACTGCGTAGTAAGTGTTAAATAGACGAAAGAATTGTGGATCCCTAAAATCCAAGCCAGATACATTTGAAACCGGCATGCTAAATAAAATGTGAGGGGGAGCAAAGGGCTTATTTTTTGGAAAGGAGAGGCCTGCCATTTTTGGGTGATGAAACAATTCGGAAACATTCGTAAGAAGGTTTCCATGCTGGAAATGGACCTTGAACTCTTGCTCAATAGCCTAGAGGCTGATGATAAATCAAGGTAAATCGTAGAAATTACCTGATCTCTGTGGGGCCTTGAGAGGGAGGAGAGACCTGATAGCTGCACATCTTGTAGGACAGATGATAACCTCCTCTAACCTCCTAGCCCTCCCCTTTTTACAGAGCTGAGAACAGTAGCCTCCTTCTTGTAAATGAGGTCTCCTACAATGGGGACTGCTGCCTCAGAGTCTGAATTAAGAATGCAGAAGGAAAGACGAAAGAAAGAAGCCTGTTTAATTAGGATGAAAGATGCCCCCCCCTCCCCATAATCTACCCAAGCCAGTTGAGCAGAGCATAGGGGCTGTTAGCACTGAAGGGTCTGACTTGCTGACTCGGGTAAACACAATGCTCGGCAGATGAAGTCATGCATAATTAATTGTTCTTTGTTGCATTCTTTCCAATGTAATGACTTGTAACATTCACGCTTGCAATAATTGATGTTTTCTGTGTGCTGGAGCTTCAGGACAGCCAATTAAGGCAGTGGAGGTGGTAGCTGTGTAGTATCTCCAGCGTCTGTGTGTTCCCAACATGTGGGCTGTAACTTTTTTTTTTCTTTCCTTCTTCCTAGTGCCTAAAACAGTACATGCAGCTGGCAATTCAAGAAGGTTGTGGATCTCCTATCACTTGTCCAGACATGGTATGCTTGAACCATGGGACCCTACAAGAAGCAGAGGTATCAACACTTCTTTCTTCCTCTTTCTTAACATAAAACCCCCCAAGTACTTTTCTTCATCTACATAATAAATATGATCATGTACTTTTTCCTCCCTTTAATTACCTTTAATGAGCTTTTGGCAAGAAGCCTGACTGACAAGAGGAACTAGAAACAAGCAGATGTTTTTCAAGGGTTTTGCTCCTTTTTTCATTCTCTGTGCCTTGAGGAAGGGCTTACTTGGCATCCAGACAACTTCTGAATTACCCGTGCAGGTGACTTAACCAGAACACCTTGTATCCTAGAATTGCTGAGCCTCCCTTAGTGCTGTCAATTAAAACAGCTTTGATATGACTATAAACACTGAAATTCCAGCACCTCTTTAAACCCAAGAGCAAGAACACAAACTGATTGTATGCAAAGCCAGAACTTCTTCCTCCATGTTTATATTGGGCTTCAGCAACCAATTTGCAGCCCGTGTAAACATATGAGACTGTATAATTGTATTCAAAGAAAGGTATCTGCACAGCACTGGGTGGAAGTAGGTCTTACGAGAAAAGTGGCTTAGTTCCCAGGGCAGAGATGGGAGAGATTGAGAACTCAGAAGCTAAACGAGGCTTGGGCACAGCTGTTTGCACATCTGGCACATGCACAATCCCCCAGAGTAACATGAATGTTCAATTTGAAAGTTGGAAGCAGAGAAACCAGAGGGAAAATGTAGCTCCTAGACCTCCTTACACTGCCTGGGACAAAGGGACTCAAGGGGGCTGTCAGTGGCTCCCACCAGGCTGCCTGGTGGCCTCCCAGCAGAGCTCCAGCAGCCTCCAGGCTGACCTAGGGCTGGTGTAAAGTTTCCTAATTGGGCTTAGCTCCAAACCCATGACATGGGGAGGAGCTGCTGGCAGCGTGGCTGGAACCTTTATGCATGCCAGCTATTCTGTGCATCTAGAAAGCCATGGAAAACCATGGGCAAATCTGATTTCACCCTGAGGCTATTCTTGCTTGCTTGCTCCCTCTGTGAGCCAGGTGAGCCACTGCTGGGCACAGGAACACAAGCAGAGATAAAAAAAAAAAAAAAAAAAAATGGTGGCTAAAGGATTTTGGCTCATTCAGCGCATTCTCTTAGCGTTTGTGTGCAGGAACAATGTCAAGGAGAATCAGACCTCCATCCGGAACTAAAGAAAAGCAGGTTATTTATCTTCTGGCTTTCCTTAACCCCTGTTTATACAGATGACATAACTGTGCTAGAGGTGTGTAATTGTATTCAAATGCAATCATGCCATTTCTCACAAATTTTTGGTGTGTGGTTATTTTCTGCTGGGGAGAAAGGAGTAAACTCAATATTAACTCTGTATTAAGAAGTAAACTCAATTCCATTCATTATGGAATGGGATTTTCCTCCAAGCAAGCATGTGAGAGATGGACTCACTGGGAGGCAAGTTTTGACTGAAAATGAGGGACCTCCTTTGTTCCACTGACACTGGCAACTGTACTCCTCCTCTCTGCTCTGCACAGGGCTGGGAAGATGGCATGCATTGAGGGGATCACCTCTAACCAGGGAAGGAGTGCAGCCGAGTTGCAGTGGCTCTGATTGCATAAGGGAAAGCAGATATAAAACACCTCACACAGAACTGGAGAGAGTTACCAAGAATTACATTTCTCCCCCAAAAAATCATGATCTTCTCTCCAGCATGAATTTGAGACCCAGTGCTTAGCTGAATCAGGGTCTGGGAGTTGCAATTATTATTATTTTTATGCTGTGCTGGGATATGGTGGAGCTTTTCTTTGGCTGAATCCAGCCGTTGTGGAAAGAAGTTAGCTGTTTCCTGTCCTCTTTTCTTCTGCATAGATGCAGAGAAGGTGTAGTGCTGTCCCTCCCACCTGTAGCACCAGGCTGAAGACAAATAACATTTATTGAAAATGCTGTTTTAAAAGAAAATTAGCAAATGGCAGGAAGAATTCTGCACTGTTAAATTCGGGTTACGATGCTATAGGAACTGTAAGGATGTATTTCCCATTAGTAAGCAAAAGGGCACTGGAGGGCATGTATTAATGGACCATTAAGTTAATCCTTGTGTGCTTTTTGGGGCTAAAGGCAGAATGACTAAACAGCCCAAGATGTGCATTAGTGTCTGGTGGATGAATGAATATTCTGACACTCCCTCTTGGTGATGCACTTAAAACACAAACCCTCTGCTTGAAAAGCAGACAAGCTCCCAACCTCATTAAAATGAACTGCTTGTGTATTTTACCAAATACTTATTTTTTTAATGAAAAAAATAAGTCAAAACAAAACATGAACAATAGAATTAATAGCCTGTCTCTATTAATAATCTGTAGGATTAGTAAATAAACCACAGATTATGTATGAGCACTCTGTATTCTATTTTTCTTTTCTTTTCTATAAAGGCTGTTCCATGTGAAAATGTGGCCTTTAAAAGCTACTATTTAAAAAACAGAACCTTATTCAGATGGGAGAGAATGTCCTTACATATGACTATTGTTTGGCATGGAAGTACTATTTAGCCCTACAGTTTATTCATTACACACTCTGAAACTCCAGGTGTGGAAACATCAGCCTCCTCGCCTCCAGGAGGGCTGGTTGTTTGCTCTCTGGCCTCCAGCAGGAAAATGTTCCTCACCACAACAGTGCCATGAGAAATGTCGTACCTCTGGCAACACTTTCTCAACCATTCAGTAGCATCTAACTTAAAGATATTTATGCTTGTGCATTTAAAAATTTGTTTTCTGGTAAACATTCAATAAAATATGCGTATAGACTTTTTCATGTTTTTATTTATATTTTAATTTTTTTTCTGAAAATTATGTGTTACCTCTCCTGGGGGGAAAAATACATCGATCCTTTTTTGGCATCAGGATTTTGAAATAGTGTATTTTTCAGGTCATGTCCATTTCAGACCCTGCTGCAACTAATGTTTAGCAGGCACTGTTAGGGTTTGGAGAAAAAAAACAGCAGTTCAAACTGTCTTTCTCATGAATGTGGTGTTAAATAGGTTCCTCTACTTTGGGCTGAATTGTGTCTAATTACGTTAGCTAGCACAGTTGTCTTGTTTGCTTTTTAAATGCCTTTTGCCCTAGCCTGCACAAAGGAGATAAGGTGAACTTAGACATAATTTGAAGTGAAGAAAAGCCTTGCCATTGACTTCGGTGCATTTTGGACTGGGTCCTGTTCAATAGGAAACCTGAACAATTAATAATGAAGCTTATAAGTAACTTAGGATATGTAACATTTATGAAAGTTCATCTACTTCCCTCTGTCAAGGTCTTTATTCAAGGTGTGTAACATTTCTTCAGTACTTACCAGTGACCTATTTGTCTTCTCTGTGAAGAAAGTATGTTTTGTCTTCTCAGTAAAACCCCTCAGTGTTACTGCTGTTCAGTACTAAATTATTAGAGCCTTTTCACTGCTCTGGGCTCGATTCTGACACGTGTGCTTCTTGTGTTGCTTTTGGCAGTGGGGAGGGCAAAAACTCAGGTTAACATTGTAAATGTGTGATAGAATTTCTTCCTATATTTGTCATGAAGAAATTAGCAAGCCTGAATAGTAGGCATCTGTCTCTAAATATTTCATTGGTGTTTGGGGAGTAAACTGCTTATTCACAGAGCATAGGAGATGTTGGGAGTTAAGGCTTAACTTAGGTGAACTAGAACATTGTGTCTCTCTGGACCTCAGAAAGAAAATGTTACAGGTTTTGTATTCTTAAAAAAATTAACATAGGTAATGGGAACTAGAAATTTGTACCTTTCAGTACAAATATGTTTTCTGACCCCCCCCTTTTTTGTTTTTACATTAACAAAAGCTAGTTGAAACTGGTACTTTCCCTGCTTGTTTTTGGTTTTGACAAGCGGTGTACTTGAATAGAAGGAACTGTTCCACTACAGTGCATGAAATCAGGTCTAAGCCTAGATCATATCTTGACCTGTTACATCAAGATATCAGCTGCTTTAAGTGTAGCTTGTTTTAAAGCAGAAATAAATGGATGTTAGCGATGAGAAGGCAGTGTTTTTGGCTACAGGCTCTGTTTCAAATAGCTGGTTACACAGAAAAGGAAAGTTTAAAAGCCATCTCATTAAACAAGATGTTTGTCCTTTCGCACTCTAATAGTACAATAAACAAAAACGCTTTGGATTTGTTCCTGGTAGCAGAAGGTAGAAGGAACATCTTATGCTAATGCAGCTCTCTTCAACTGTGCAGACTTCTCCCGTCTAGAATATTCCTGTCTCTCTTGGGGATTTGCTCCATTGATTTAATTGGAACAGTTAATATCCCTAACCTAAATAGAGGGTAATTTATTATGATTCGAAATGGTTTTACGTGGTGCAAATGCAATCAGCAGTGTAAGCTGTGAGTGGGGTAAGTCTCAAGTGCATATAAGGACTTCCAATGTAGTACTCGCTTGGATGATTTCTAGGGGCTTGTGCTGTGCTGTTTCTAATGTCTGCATTGTTCTGAAGCTTGTAGAGCTGATGCCAACGAGGCACAGTGATGTATGTAATCTGATTTGAATTACAGTTGTGCAGGGAGCACTAAGAGAGGGCATCATCTGGGCTTTCCTTTTGCCTCCGGAGTTCAGCAAGAAGTTTCCCTTTGCACTCCGTGTGGTTTCTGCTTATTGCCCCCTCTGTCTGTGTAAATACCTGATGTGCGCCAGCGCTAACCTGGCAGAGGGTTGTCAGCACTTTGCAAAGAGCTGATGAAATGGGACAGTGACCCAGATCTTTGAATTCTTTACTGTGTTGTATTCCATACATAGCTGAGCAAAAAGCCCTCGGGGAGTTGTTTTAAAATACTGGTTTTATTTTTAATTTGAAAATTGGTTTACATTTTGCTAGGGGCAGATTGAAATGGCAAAATGGGGAGGAAGGTGGGAACATGTTGCAGGCCAACCTACTTTTTTCAGGGTCAAAATTAAAAAAGTTCTTGTTATTTACTTGTTCTTAAATCTGAGGGAAGTAAATGCGAGTCTTTTTTGTGTGTGTGTGTGTGTGTGTGTATGTGTGTGTGTGTGTGAGATTAAATAAGGGAAGAGCTCCCTGATAGAGAAAACTAATACGTTAATGTTTCATGATTAAACCACCGAGCATAACAAAGCACAGCCCAAGTTAAAACTGCTTTGAACTGCTCGCAAAATCAGGCACTGGCTCTGCGAGTGGGACTTCAGCAGAGCTGGGCAGTTCAACCCTTTGCTGTTGGTGCTGCCAGTGCTGGACCTCCGCTTGTTGTGTCTGCTGAAGAGAGAAAGGCAGAAGGACTTGTGCTGATGAACTTTCCTCTCCAGGCTGTATCAAGACTTGATTCATATGGGTGTGAAAGGAAGTAAGGCCTGTTCAGTTCTCCTGATTGCCTCCTTGCATCTCCTTTGAAAGCCTGAGAATAGGTGGAGCAGTGATTTTCCCTTTCCACTGTGGTAGCCAGTGTTTAAAAACAGGGGAGTTGTTCTTCCTTGGCTCCTGGTTACTGCACTGCCCAAGTTACAAGGAACAGTCTGCCCCTGTGTAAACTGAACTCAATTATTTCCAACTCTTTCATTTTCCTTCCTTTGCTCTTTTGTCTCGCATAGCAATAGCACCCCCGGTTATTGTACCACAGTGGGCAATCTTTTGGGACACTTGGCAGGGCTCCTGCTGGAGCCTTTTGTGGTAGCGAGCTTTCAAAAAAAAATTTTTTTTTTCTATGGATTTTTTTACTTCAGGTGAAAGCTGCTGTTCTTAGTGAGACCTGCCAGTATTCATGTGCTCTACGACAAGAGTACTTTAAATGAAGTAGTTGCCTGTGATGCATTGAAAACCAGAAAACTTACTTCAACTCCTACCAGTCTGATAAGTCTCAAATCAATGTCTTTTCACAAGAGGAGAGTCCTAGATTCTCATTTTGTTCAGAGGTTTTTATTGTAACCTTAACCTGGTGTTTTTTTTTTTTAAAAAAGAAAAAACACCTAAAACTTGTCCCGTAGCATTTCTTGTTGCATTGAATAATTGAACAATTTCTTCCCCTAGAGTAAGAAATGTCTTGCTTTCTGGCATGCTTGTGCTATTTCTCTTTTGGCCCTTTGCCACCTGCTGTGTTGCCAGTTCGCTTCCTCCCCAGGTCTCCATCCTGTGCCGAACCCATGGGTGTGTGCGGTCGGGCAGGACAGGGATGTTTGGGATGGGCTCCCAGATGGGGCTAAAAAAAGTTGCATGATGATGAACATTTAGACTCTGATGCCAGGTAGGAGGAGATAAGCACCTCATTGCCCAACCATGCTGTCCAAAAGCTGTCTTACCATTGAGCATAAATGAAATTAGCAGCAGAAGGGACAGGCTGCATGCACCTGGAGCTGTGTGCAGGGTGCCGGACCTGGGCCGCAAAGAGGCTGCAAAGGAGGAAGAGCAGGGCTGGAGGAAGCCAGTGGGGAAGTCTGGCACGGTGAGCTCAGGTTTTCAATAGAAGAAAGGGATGCTTTCAGCACCGACTCTGCTGCCAATTGAAATCTGCGATAGAACTCCTTACTCTGCTCCCACTGTCATCAAAAAGGCCGATTTTTAATACATGGGAAATTCTGGGCTCAATAGAGCTGCTCTTGAAAAATGGTTTGTTAAAAGCAAGAGCAGGCACAAAAAGGCCTCAGACAACGACACAATTCATTCAAGTGGCTCTTACCCTTACAGCATTGAGACTCGCTGTTTTAATTTAGTCATAATGAAGTAAAATTTAAAGTAGTTGCCAATGCTCACCCAGCTAGAGAAAAGCAGATGACTCTCTTTGTTTTCCGAACTCTGTTTAGATTTTAAGCTGCCCTGGGGAGACTGGGCAATACTGAAATGATGTCTTGTGGGTTTTGTGTAATTCTGTTGGTTGGCTTCATTCTTTGCTGAAGCTGCTGAACTTCACTCTTTTTGACTTGTTTGATTAAGTTGTTATTTGTTTTCCAAGAGTGTTTCAGCTAACTTCTGATGAACAGGTGAAGAGTTTTCCAGGAAGCTCGCTGTGTTACGGTCATACTAAAGTATTGTGTACTCCATGAAAGTACTTTCATATTAAAAATACTTTACACCCTGAATTCAGAAGCTGAATGAGGACAGTACTTTAACCACAGAACTGATTCACTAGACTATGAGTATGGTTTGTAAAGATTTGTCAGTGTTTCCCAGTTAGCTGAAAAATCCTTTGATTTCTTCAATTATAAGCACCTTTAAGTCTTTCAAGCACCTTCAAACACTTACATCTGGACAACAGTGGCATTGTTTTTTGTATGACGTTGGTTTAGCTCAAAAATTGATCCAAAAATCTGCTTCAAAATGCAATTTTAATTTCATTTGATTTGAGATCTTAATAAAGTAATTTGTTGTCTTCCAAATGGATATATTCTCTGCTACCATTTTTTCCAACTGCAAAAGCAGAGGTATTTACAACACGAGGTTGAATATATATTGAATTTTTCTGTTGTTGTATTTCTTCTCATGAGTGCCTTGCAACACAACCCAGAAGGACAGCAAGGGCCAGCTTCTACTCCAGTGAGAGCAAAATTTTGCCTTTACAGTAATGAAGGTCCACGGTGGTCTCCTGGATATAAGGGTTGAGAACACCTTCATTTCAAAGCTGTCAGTTCTGTGTTGTCTCACAGGGCTTCGAATGATCAGGTCTTCTACTGGTATTAGTCCAGGTTTATTTTTAGGAAAAGAGTAAGTCTTTTAGGTAGGCACAGAAATTTGTTCAGTGCTGATCTGATCTATGCTCTGCAATGTTGTGAACGGATCAAATAAGAGAATTATCTCATATTTTGAATTCAACAAACCTTTGGTTTCTCAACTATCTGACAAGATTCATTTGAACCCCTCCTTACACTGTATGCAGGTTTGGTTATTAGTTTTAAATACTTGGTTATTTTACAAGGACTGGAGAGCAGAGCATTTATCCATTTAGGCTAAGTTAGCTTAATCATGGTAATACCCAAAATGTATTGACAAAGCCTGATTGTCTATGCCAACTAGATTGTTAACTTCAGTTCCCGGTGGGCTTGTGCATGTCTAAGGCAAATTCCAATAGCAGTGGCATTAACCATCTTAGTCCAGAAAAACAAAAAAAAAGGAAGAATAATGCATTTCTTACATGAATAAAAAATGGAAACCAGACTGGCTTTTTTGTTCCCGAGAGCTAACTGGCTCCTACCATAAAGACTGGGAGACATGAATGAGCAATCGTTTGTTTGGACTGTATTCTTGTGCATGAACAACAGACTTCAGTTTCCAGGCTTGGCTAGCTGTCACCCTTCATTACATTAAACAAACATGAAATAAAACAAAGAGGTTGAAGTAAATACAGAACCCCAAAAGAAGGCTTTCCTCTGCATGGTAAGAAGGACTTGGGCTGAACTACTCTGCCGTGTGGTCGAAATAGGAGAGACCAGGAACTACTTTATACTTTGGAGAAGGAAGTCTAGGTATGGAGAAATGCGGTGGTGAACAGTATGCAGAAAAAGAAGGTGGATTTGAAAGCTGGCTTAGGAGAGCAGACAAGTAGAGCAGGGTGCTTATTAAATTTTGTCAAGTCTTTAATTGTTCCTAATGATTTTTCTGTTTGTCTCTCATTTCAGATTGCCTGTTTGGTGCCTGTTGACCAGTTTCAGTTATACAAGAGGCTGAAGTTTGAACGCGGTATGAGCCCTTTTGGTTTCTATTACCTCAATTTTTAAAGTGTCAGTAGAGGCAGCAATATTACATATTGCAGAGCACTCTGCCTTAAGACAAAGCATGCTGGGTGAGTTGAGGAAGAGATGGAGAAGATGTCATTGTTTTGAAATATACATCCATAAGGATCTTCAAAACTTCTAGGAGATACTGACCCTGCTGTCTGATAGAAACTTCTGCAAGCATCCCTAGAAGAGAGTTTTTCTCACAGAGAAGCCTTGTGTGTATTCTTCTAGTATATTTATTTTTTTTCCTGTGTGTATTCTTCTAGTATATTTATTTTTTTTTTCCTGAGGGATAATTGGACCCCTCATTACTGAATAAGGCATAGTAGTAAGGAAGCTTGAAACTGAAGATCTTACTGGTGCCAAGCCTTGGTATGTCAGAGGTCAGCATTCTTCTTCAGGAGATGATTCCTTGCCAAGGCTGAAGAAGACACTTGATAGTCAGAAAGATGAGATCCCATGCTGATTTTGAAGACTGACACCAACTTGAAAGCCCAGCTGGAAGTTGTAGTATTTGTCAAAGAATTTGCATTGTGGTAGCTTGCAGAGTAGGGTATCTGGGACTGATCAGCTCTAACTCTGTCTTCAAGCTTTCCTCTGAAGACTGTATTTGTGCTCTGCTTTATATGCGTGCTTAGATGCAGAGGAATTGGGAATAAGAATGAAAATGCAGAGGTTCATAAAAGTTAGGTTTATTAATGCACTTAAAAAATGGTCAGATAGAAGAATATGTGGGTTTTTACTGAATCTCATCTGGACTGAAGTTCAGTGAGATGACCATGAAGTACAAAACCAACAAAATCAGTACACCCAAGTGTGCCCTCGAGATCATGGGCGGATGCAGATTGTAGCTGTGGTTTGCAGGTACTCAGGACAAAGAAAACAAAAAAATCTCAAACTCAGCTTTCATTTTTGATTTCTTTCTCCTATTCTACCTTCTTCTTGTTTACCCTTAATTCCTTAGGAAGTCCCTCTAGTTCATAACCCAAGCAGTGGCTTGTCTACAGTCCTAGAAAGTAGAAATCACAGCTTGTTAAATAACATATTAAGGGGTTAAGAAAGTGAGGCATTCTTGCAATACATTAATCTCTTTTACATAAAACCTTTTTTTAACTGAAGACTGTGAAACTAATGATTTCCTGGTATCTCTTCCTCTACAAGTAGCCAAAGCTGAACTCATGATCTTTTGTCCAACTCCCTGTTACTTTTTTTTTTTACTGCCTCCCACTCACAGAAACCTGGAACTTGTCTGTTTTTAAGTCCTCCTTCCCTTTTCCTTCTTGCCTAAGTCTTGCAAATCCTCCTCCACCTCCACTGCGTTTTTTCATGATGTTTTTAGATCTGTCCTTTCTCCTCTATGATAAGTAAAGCTGGCATCCAAGCAGCAGGCTTAAACTGAGACTTTTGACCTTGTGTGCCCCAGCAATAAAGTGAACTTACTGAAGCCTGGGAACACAACCTGCAAACTCAAGTGGTATCCTGGACACCAGCACTAATCCCACACCCAGCCAGGACCTTTTGCCTGTCCCAGGGTTAGCATTGCCCCCTAAGGCTGACCTTTCCACGCTTACCAGTTGAACCTGGCTTGTGGGCCTCTACTGGCTCAAGCTCTCTTCTCAGACCTGACCACAGCCCAGCAATGCTTCCCTGCCCAGACCAGCAGCAATGCCGGCTTGATGGTCCTTTTGTGAGTCTAGCAATAAACCTTGATGATGGCAGCTGCTGGGTCCAATTTCTGACCAGGTGTCTGCTCAGAGACTCCTGACAAATGAGATCTGATGCACAGCTTGTGCCTCTGTCAGCATAAGTGCAACCCAGCCCTTTCCAAACCTCGTGCTACACAAAGCCCAGGCTGCAACTGCCTCGCTCTTGCCTCTCCCACAGACTCGTGACAACCACAACCACTGCATAGCCTCACGATCTATTTTCACACCAGCCCTAAGGCAAACTCAGCTGCAGCTCCTTGACCTACCAGCAAATGTAGTCCATCGGTCTTTGCATTCAGACATCGGCCTTTCCCTAAAAACACGTGAACTCCAGCCAGGATGCAGCTCAATGGCCAGAGCTGATGTCAGCCAAGCCAAGTACACCTTCAGAGAGCCATGGATTCATTGGAGTTATGTAATGATAGAGAATACCTCAAAGAACTGAAATACAGTGTAATAGTAGCATTACTGTAGTCAGCCTTTCAAGTTCATTTAAAAATGAAGAAAAACTTTACATATGAAATATTTTGAGCTCCCTTTTCTTCCCAGTTCTCAGTTCTTTTCTTCATATCAGGCACTAGGGGAAGGCTAGCTGGAGTTAGCTAGGGTTGTTTTTTGCTGCATGGTAAGGGAAAGAAAGAGAAAGCAATGTGTTTTCCAGATGTTGCTGTCTGAAGTGTGCTGTCCTCTTTTCCACATTTGCAAATACAATAGGCCAAATTCTGATTCTTAAAATAGGCAGGTACTAGACTGTCCTTCGTTACTTTTGCTCTGATCAACAAAACCCAATATTCAAACGCTCCCACTTGCTGTATTTAGACCCTTCTGCTCTCAGCTGTATTCTGTTGAGATATGGGCTGTCTGTCCTCCGTCCTGCTTCGGTTTCCCCTTTGCTTTACTAGAAATGCTGGACATAAGTAACCAGCTGCATGGGCAAGCCTTTCTGCTCCTACTCTGTAGTCTTTTCTCAACAGTCTTCAAGTGATTGCTAAAGCCAGTGCTTCTCATCCTTACAGGTATTTTTTGTTAAGAGATTCATTTTGAGAAAAATTTTGAAGAGATGAACTTAGACCTCCAAAAGCTGTTTCCTCCATCTTTGCTAGCTGTTTTAATACAATATATATCCTCTCTATTACCTTATTTCTAAGAAATTGGACAGATAATATTGAGTTAAAAGGCTGTGAGAAGTAACTGGCATACAATTGAATGTCTATATGCAATTGCATATAATGAAAAGCACTGAAAATATTCAGTCCTCTTGTGTTCTTTGTGTTCTTAATATGCAAATGTTTCCAGGCTTTAAACCAAGCTTTCCTACATCTATAACTTATCAGGACCTAGTCACAGGGCTTCTGTGCAGTATGTCTTAATAGAAGAAACAGGAATTGATGTATGTCTGCTTAGGATGGGGTTGTTGTGGCCATCAGAAATAACAAAATAGTGGGATAGGATGTGGTTAGGACACAGGCAGTGTATTTCTGTTTCTCTGACAGTTGCCCAATTGGCCTAGTGAAAGATGGTGAGAACCTCCTTTTTCTGCCTGACTGAAAAGCAGTGCATTAAAAGATAGGTGTTCCTAATATTTTGTGGAGTGCACGGGGCCACCTTTTCGGTAGGTACCTCTTCTAAGCCAGAAATTCTTCATTCTTCAGAGTTCTGCATTTCCCCTGCTTGCATCCCACATCTCACCTGCTTGCTTGTGTGTTTTGTGAAAACTGGCCAGATCCCTGCCTGTTACTGGCACGGTCTGGGGAAGCTTTCCTCCTGAGAGTGGAATGAGCGTGGCTGAACTGGCTGTGAGGAAGCAGGGAAAAGGCTCAAGAGAGAAATAGCCCTAACCAAAGGATTGAACATTGTCAGAGTAAAATGATAGCCTCTTTCCTTTTTTATTTTTTGGCTGCTCCTTTTTTATTTTTATTTTTTTCTGGTTTCACTTGTACTCCATGGTAAAGCAAACAGTATGAGACAGCATGGATTGCAAAACACCATCTGTAGGTTCTTTGTAAAATGGAGGAAGTGGGAGAGGAGGGAGTTTCATTTTATGCATCACATCTTACTGCAAAAAAACTTGTAAAAATCAATAAGACTTACAACCCTTTGCCCAGTGGATGTCAAAACCAGACATCCTGTCTTTCATCCAAAACAAGGATAGGAGAATTTAGGTTTCCAAAGTTGAGCATGCTATCTGCAGGAACTGCATTTTTTTTTCTCATTTTAGCTGTTGTTTATCAACAGAAAACGTGTGGAACCTACTGTGGGAAGACTTAAATGCAATAGTCAATAATAGGGCATGGTCTTACCCAGCTCAGAGCATCATCTCTGAAGGAAGCTACAGAAATAATGATTTCTCAGCCAGGATGCTATTTAAAAATGCTTGGATGGCTTGTCCACCCGTCTCTTTCTTCTCCCCACAAATGAAGCTACAAACTGTCTTTATTCTGGCTTTTATTCAATTAAAGCAAAATGTCTGTTTGCTTTTGGTGGTAGAAGAAGCATGTGTAAGATAATAAGGGGAAAGAAGGGAACTAGATTCATGAAATGGCTGGAAAAGAAGGTAGATGGTACAGGTGTTTCTCTGGCACTGCCTAAATTATAGATTAAAGCCTTTGCTATGGGTGCAGAAAGTCTCCCCATCTGTCAGAGTCCTCTGACACAGATTAATATATTACCTGCAGTTGCAATAACTACATGGAGGGATGGAAAATAGGTGAACATAGCAAAGCCCCTGACAGTCTCCCGTATGACAGTGACCAATATGCCTACTTTAAGTATGGGAGACTACGTGCTAGTCTTTGTTGAAAGAGGTTCAAACGCCTGTCTCTTGACTGCCTTGCCTGGTAGTCAGCTCATGGCTCAGGTGAGTATCATCCCTGCCACTACTGAAGTAGCATCAATGGAAACTGAAAGCCAAACACAGGACTGTGTGATAGCCTGACCCAGTGGACACCTTCAGAAAGGAAAGGGGCTCAGCTTGTCTTGAGCAGTGGAGTTGAATGAAATTCTCCTACATGCTTGCTCTCAAATATTAAATAGAAAAAAGGTGTTAGTGGTTACTCCTCTACTAGTGGCTTTGCTAACACGATCGTTAAAAAGTGGCTTTTTCTCTAAGTATCTGTCAAGAATCACCCTGAATGTGTGAATAGTTTTAGGATAAACCAAGTTGTATTTTGGTGTGAGTTTACTTTTCACCCCAAAAGACATTTCTAAAACTAGTAGGAAACTCTCAGCTACCAGTGGATTATGCTGAAGTTAGTTTGTTTCAGTCAGGTAGGGAGGTTGCCCAAAGCCCCATCCAACCTGGTCTTAACCTCCAGGGATGGGGCATCCACAGCTTCTCTGGGCAATTTGCTCCAGTGCCTCACCAACCTCTGAGTAAAGAGTTTCTTCCTTATATCTAATCTAAACCTACCCTCTTCTAGTTTAAAGCCATTCTCCCTTGTCCTGTCACTGCACTCCCTGACAAAGAGTCCCTCCCCAGCTTTCCTGTAGGCCCCCTTTAGGTACTGAAGGCCGCTGTAAGGTCTCCCTGGAGCCTTCTCTTCTCCAGGCTGAACAGTGCGAACTCCCTCAGCCTGTCTTCATAGAAGAGGTGCTCCAGCCCCTTGATCATCTTTGTGACCCTCCTCTGGACTTGTTCTAATATGTCCATGTCCTTCTTGTGTTGGGGTCCCCAGATCTGAATGCAGTGCTCAGGCTGGGGTCTCACTAGAGTAGAGGGGGAGAATCACCTCCCTCAGCACCCCCAGGTCCTTCTCCTCAGGGCTGCTCTCAATCCATTCTCTGCCCAGCCTGTATTTGTGTTCGGGATTGCCCCAACCCAGGTGCAGGATTTTGCACTTGGCCTTCCTGAACTTCATGTGGTTCACACAGGCCACCTGTGAAGAAGCTGGAAGTTTTCAAGCCGAGCACAGATGTTTGGCAAACTAGAAAAGAACTCAGTTTCTAAAGTACATTAGGTTATGAAGGTTGTGGGATGTCTTCCCCAGGCGTTGATGCACGTGGACTTTTATCTATTTACTGCTTATGTTTTATTTTTCTACTGTTTATGTATCTACTGTTTTACTTCTTTGAACACAATTCTAGTTGTATGGTTTCTAGTTTCTAGATGTCTGGATGCTGAATTGATACTACTGTTTATCATGCTGGCTGAAGCATCTGCTAGATATCCATCCACCAGCCCCCTGCAATGTGGGCTACCAGCAACCTCCTGCAAAGAAGCAATGCAGACAGCAGTGTGCATAGCAGGAAATGCCTTCAACTGTTTCAGCAAAATTTGCCAGAGAACATATGTCAGGGGCCCTTGTGTGGCCTTTTGTTTGCTTTTACCTGCTGGAAATAGAGATGAACTCTGTAATGGCTTTTGAGATCTCACAGTCAGGGATTTCCATGCTTTACTGAGGCATCCCTCCAACCATTTTCATTTGTGGTCCCAGAGAGCTCCCAGGGAGGGAGGAGATGCAGGGTGGGAGTGTTTGGCTGGGCTGCATTGACTTGAGCAGTGTAAAAGGTCCACACAGTGGACAACCCTAACAGTGGATGTGATTCATCTGGGTTTCTGCTGCAAGTCCAAAGTCCTCAGATAAAGGTTGGGGAGCAAGAGAAAGAATCAACATTTATCATTTGCTACCGTGTGCCAATGCTTCCACTTGTGACCTTACATTAACTATTGTTATAATTGGACACCTGACAAACGCTCATCATATAATAAGGTGAATATTAATCACCTGAAAGAGCGTGGGGGAAATAAGGCACAGAAAATGACTTGATGTTAATTTAATGACAGTTCTCCTGCTATTTACATGAGAGATGTGACATGGTTTCCACATGTGAAAGACAAAATGGTACATGCTTCTCAGAAAGCATTAGTTGTCTTCATCTTCTGTACCCTCCTATAAAGGCAAAGAATATGTCCCTTGTAGTGTGTTGCTGTTATTGTGATGCTTCCAGTGCAGCTGCTGTTGCAGAACACCATTTCAGACCTGCCTGAAAAAAAAAGTAGTCTCAAAAGCCCATGAGCACAGGTGCAGAGGGCCTCAACTTCCCCATGCCCATGCAGAACTGGGTCTTGCATACCTAGACGTGTCACTGGGATGAGAAGGGGACCGTATGACCGGTTTATTTCTGCCTCTGTTGTGTTTCAGAAGTCCACTTGGACCCCGAGAGAACATGGTGCCCTGCGGCTGACTGCCAGACGGTGTGCTACATTGGGCCGAGCGAGCCAGGAGTGCCGGTGCCGGTGGAGTGTCCGGCTTGCCACCTGACGTTCTGCTCCTCTTGCAAGGAGACATGGCACCCACAGCGCCTGTGCCCAGAAAACCAAACTACTCTGGTACCAACTGAGCAGGGGTAAGAGGGGAAGCCACAGGAGCTGTGTGATCTTTTGGTTCGTTTGGGCATGAAGTGCTCACTCTGTGTCTAACATCAGTTTCATGGAACTGCTTCCATCTGGTTTCTTAGGACCATCTCTGCTGGTGTTCCCTAAATATAATTCCAATCTAATGATTACTTTAAATTATACATCTTCTTTTTAAAAAGATTCTTAATGTTATTTGGGTTCTTACCAAATTTTGGGATGCCACTGACGCTTCTGAAACATGAAATCCACCGGGGCTTTCACTCCTCCTAAAGGCCTTGTTTTCATGCTAGAATTATCAAGTGTACCTGTACAAAACATCCAGTACATTAATATTCTGGGGTCCAAACTTTGCTTGTACTGTGATTAAGAAATTACCTCGGCTTTATATTTACAGAATTTCTACATAGAAAAATCTTAACTTCTATGAAGAGTGGATGTGCAGGATCCCATTTGGTGGGAGAAATATGATTTATGTTAATTTTACATAGGTGCAAACAACCTACAGGTCAGGTTGCATAAGGCATCAATCTACAGAAGGAAAACACTTATTTGCTTAGATTATATAACGTCTGTGGCCATCCGTCTTTGTTTTCTGCATCAGATAAACTTCAGTCATGTATGTTCAAAGTTTCCTTTTGCTTTTTGTAAGAAATTAAAGACTTAAAACCTAAAGATTCTGCTTGCTAGAGACTTCATCAGATATGAGTTGCCAAAGATGTCTCACCATAATTTCTCTCACCCAGGTTTGATCCTTGGCTTTGGTGGAGTTTAAGTTACTCTTTTTAGGCAAGGACAATGCCATGAGTTGCATAACCCAGTTCTCTTAATGCGTTGTGAAAGCACTCTTACCAAGTGCTGATATGTAATGCTGTAGGTGACATGTTGGTGGGTATAGTCAGTGTTGGCTTTATTTAGCATAAAAGACCAAGAGAATAGCCTTTCAACTTTACATGATATAAAATCCTTCACTTATTACTGCTTATACTTTGGTGTATTCTGAATATAATAAGCCTCACACATTAAGTGCATTAAGACAATAACATCAGATGCTCTGAATAGTAAGTACAATGCACATTAGGCAGTGAATCTGAATATCACCTATAATTATATTTACATGCGATTCTAATGTTTCCCTACTCTTCTAGATCACTTATTGGAACAGAGACAGAGGCACCAATTAAGCAGTGCCCAGTTTGTCGGATCTACATTGAGAGGAACGAGGGCTGTGCCCAGATGATGTGCAAGAACTGCAAACACACATTTTGCTGGTACTGTCTACAGAACTTGGATGTAAGTGCTGCAGATTAAAATTAGATAAAGGGTAACCGGGGGCTGAGGTTAGTCTGAGGCCCCATAGAAGCTTCCCAACAACTCCTTGATGTTCTAGTGAATCTCTTGGCTCATTTCAGATTGTAATTTAGAAGCATTGAATGCTTTGGATTGGAAAAGACCTTAAAGATCATCTAATTGCAACCCCCCTGCCATGGGCAGGGACCCCTTCCACTAGTCAAAGGAACTTCATTCACTTCATTCTTTTCTTCTCACTAATAAAAATACTGCTTTTATTTATATCAACATCCTTCTTCCATAAAGGATTATAGCCATATCCAGAGATCCCACTGTAGCTCTTTAAGGGAACTGGGACAGATTGGTTACTTTCTGGAGGTCCATTATAGCACCGCCTTTCACTGATTCCATCTTCCCATGCAGAAGCCCAAAATGGTTTGTTTGAGAGTCAGGGAAATAAGTTTCTTGTGCCTGCTCCAACTGCAAGGATCACAGCCTGTCCAAAAAATGGTATGGTACTGCGTGAAGGCAGTTGTTTCATAGGAGGGTGCACTAAGAGCTCTTATAAACTTGGTCTTCTTTACTAGTCCATCTCTAGTGCTGTGTTGCTGAAGAGAATGATTAATTAATGGGCTTGAGAGTAAAACTGTTGCGTTATCAACATGGGTTATGAAATGCAGGTGGCTAATTATCTCTCAAGTGATACCAACTAGTCTCAACTTTTGTGGACCTTAAGTTTTGTAGTAGGATTAAGAGTACAAGAAGTAATGTACTCGTGCATATGACTGCTTCCCTTTTTGGCATAGTCATTAATAACAACGGTGAGAATTTGAAAATAACTTCACCAGCACTTGAAATAAAATATCCAAAGATGCACGACTTTTCTTCTTTTTTTTTTGTACTCATCAGCTAGCAAACAATGAGACTTCCTCATTCTTCAGCCTTCCTTTTTTCAGAATGCGTAGCAAGTTTCACTTAATGTTATGTCCCAGTTTTGGATGCAGGAGTGAGCTTTTTCGACATCAGACTTATGGCTTGCCTCAGAGTACATACGGTACACAATAAATGCTTAAAACTTTGCTGAACTAGAAGTCTATCAGATTCTCCCTTTCTGCAGACATGTCCTTATGAAGTTTTAGTCTGTTCAAGAGGACAAAGGAAAAAGAAACCATAGCTGTCCGATTCAAATGTTGTTTTTCTGAATGGGCAGGGTTAAAGGAAATCCAGATTTGGTTGTAGGTAATACTTGCAGAGCTGAAGAGTAAGGCTGAAGAATGAAAGAGGAAGCAGCATTAGGTCACAGCACAGCTGGCAAGGGTAGAGTAATGTGGAGCATTAGTCATTTTCTAAATTAAAAATGGATAATTTAGTAATATTGGGAAAAACAAAAAGAAATGGCGATTTCTATTTTTTATAAAAACAAAAAGAAACAGGGATTTCCTATTTTACTTTATTTTACTTTATTTTACTTTATTTTACTTTATTTTACTTTATTTTACTTTATTTTCAATTTTCCTGTTAAGCCTAGGAAGAAAAATGACCTGAAGGGACAGCAGAACAGAAGGTAGAAGTACCTCAGGAATATGATACCTGACATGGCAAACTTTCAGAAATGTCTTGATTACAGGCCCCTTTAGCATCACCAAATTACAGACTAGGTAATTTTGTCAAAAATGCAGTGCAGATATAGTTGTCCAAAGATTTTAAAAGCGGGGGAGGGAAGATGCTATACAATAGTTTGGATCCCAAATACACTACACTTTTTGGAACTGCAAGAAGTTTTTCTAGATAATTATTTGGAAGGTAGGTGGATTTCCCTGCCAGCAGCAGGTAATTTTACAGCAGTGTCAGGGAAGTTGTATTTCCAGTCCAGTCTTGAACATGTCCCTGCGTGTCCCCATACTGTAACCTTCTCTTACAGCTTCTTCTTTTGTTTTTTCAGAATGACATCTTCTTAAGACATTACGACAAAGGCCCTTGCAGAAACAAGCTAGGCCACTCACGTGCTTCGGTGATGTGGAACAGGACGCAGGTGTGTTTCTAGCCAGCTGAGCAGAGCAATCATGCATGTGTTAAGCAGAGATTTTACCCTTCAGTGAAGGACCAAGATGATTATTCTCATGCTTTCAACTATTTTTGTGGCTTACTCCATGCTTGTGCATGCACACATATATTTTATTTTCCACATTAGCTAAATATATATTTTTCCTTACTATGTCTTTCAGGTTGTAGGGATCCTCGTTGGACTAGGTATCATAGCATTGGTGACCTCTCCCTTGCTGCTTGTGGCATCTCCATGCATCATCTGCTGCATTTGCAAATCTTGCCGAAGCAAAAAGAAAAAACACAGTCTGCCAGCAACCTAACTCTGTGTCTGTTTGAGCCTCTGTCTGTACAGCATATGTTTGTGAGAAAGCACAATGGTTGTATTTTGGTGCCATACCTACCAAATAATGCTCCCTTTTTTTTTTGCCAATTCTTGGGATAAGTGCCTATTCTCTACAGGCTACTCTATCACTTACAAGTTGCAGTGTGGAAAAAATCTAGATAATAGTGCAGTACATATGGTATAGGTTTTTTGCTTTCTAAAAGAAAAACAGGACGCCGATCGGTAGTTCATACCCTTACGTATGAGCCAGCTCTTGAGATTGCTAGAAGATTGCCATCTTCCATCAGCTGCATGAATTGATCCTGCAGTATCATTCTGCCTTTGCAGACCCAGCTGTTACTGTCATGCTTTCTGTTGGTTCTTGGTGACCAGTCGGATTTCTCAGAAAGTTTTGGGTATTTTATAACAGGGAGAGGGAAAAGCTTGATAAGGGTCTTCTGCCTGCTAGCTTGTGTCCCATTAGAGGTAAAAAACTGTTAAGAAAATATATTGACAGTTTCCTGTCAACTGGCTGCCATGGCATTTCTTTCAGCATTGAAATCAATGGGATTCATACTACTGATCTCAATTACAGAAGTAAAAACCAACAAAACTATTTGTAAGACAGAGCTCTCTCTTAAGAGACTGGACTAGCTTGGGAAAGTAGGTGCTTATTTCAGATCAAACGTGATGTACCTACCTTGAAATACAAGGACTAAGCATATTTCCCTGCTCTTGGGCATGCCTTTTGTCAGTAACACGTGTGTAGTAAAGTCACCAGGAATCTGGTGTTCTAGGAAAGGCTCCTATTTTGTGCAGTACTGGGATCTTGGCTGTGCGTTTATACAGTGACCTCATGTGTGGATATACTGAGTATATAATGCACAATTTATTTTCCAGGTGGTCAGTATATTTTTCCAGCAGTTTACATGGGGTAGCAGCAAGAACCCTGTAAAATGCTACTCAGAACAGGTTAAGCCAAGACCCTCTCTTGAATGTTACGGACCTGCTGAAGTGAATACTTGAGAAATGCTGTGTAAATGTAGGCTCCATCCATTGGTGATTAATTCTTCTTTCCCACTCAAGGTTAACAAACTTTGTTACAGCTCATTTTTAGTTACTCTCAATATGAAAGCCTGTCATTTAATACACCCTTCATTTTCATTTGGTGCCTCACCATTAAACTGATTTAGACCCTGTTATCAGTTACACCTGTATAAATTCACTGAAACCTCCCTGAAGAGCTGGAGTTACTTTAGGCTCACCCAGGAGAAGCTGAGTTCAGACTCTGCTCTGTGCATTTGTTTCCTTAATGGCTGGTGATCCTCAAAACCCTGGCCAGCTTTTGTTCTGGACTTGCAGTGCATTTTATATCTGTGGGAACTGATACGAGTTTGCACTATTTAATCAGTTTTAATTCCAACCCGCTTGCAGTAAGGGCTGCAAGTTTTAAATGGGATGCTCAACATGAGCATCATGTCAGGCTTTTCCTCCTCAGGCCCTACCCTCCTCCATGCACGCAATTTGAAGCACCAGAAGAATGCTGCAAAGAACGTTTTTTCTGTTGCGTTTGGCTGAGCCTCAGGAACTTTGCCTTCTTGGCAGCCATAAATGTGACCTTTTTTGTTTAACTTCCCCCTCTGTTGACTGTAACAGAAGTGGTAGATTTTCTTATTTTAAGAAAGCGTAGTCTGTTGAGCAGACTAGCAGGGACAAAGGCCTTAAATGATGTTGTCTGTTTTACTTTTTAATCGATTTCTCTTACAAATGCTATCTGACTTCGCTACTAGTCGTGACTGGAGGGCAGGCAGCGCTCGCCAATTTGAAAGGCTATATTTATTCTCCATCCACGGCTTCTAAGGGAAGCAGAAAGGTAGTCAGTACATTTTAAATGCAGAGTGCAATGCAGACAACTACAATTTATAATAAGTAGAGAATGTTTTCTGTATGCGTTTTCTTGCACAGCAGTAATGGTTGTGCTTGGGGGCACTTGTGACAGATCAAGGTATCTAGCCCTCGGCTTTATACTATTTTTCTACCTACATTTTTATGGCCCTACTGCCATTTCCAGCTTATTGAGGAACTTGCAGTTGAGAGTCTTACTTTAAGGAAGCCTCAAGGACAAAGATACAGGAGCTGTATGGTCTCTTTAACCATAACCAGCAAGTAATAATACCCTTTGCATGTTAAACTTCTTTTTTTTTTTTTTTCTTCATGTTTTGTGGTCTTCAACACACCTTCTGCAGGCCCAGTTTCTTTCTTTGTCACCTTCCTCTTTCATTTGTAGTTTTTGCTAAAATGCCCAATGGAATGAAGGTGTCTCGTGGTGTCTCAAAACAAATTCCACCTTGTTTAGTTCTTTAAATGCTGTCTGAAGTTAATGTAGCTCTCTCCAGAAAATAGCAATTTGTTTCAGTGGTTTGAAGGATAATGTTTTATAAAAGCAGTGCATGCGTGCATAGCTACAAACTCTGTGAAAGCAACACTTTTCTGTCTGTTTTTATTAACTTCTCAGTTTGAGTGCAGCATAACTTCTTTCAAAGACTAATATCTACGGAGCAGAAGGAAGATGTGCCGTTTCTGTGCGCACTTTGTATTGCTTGTGCCAGTTTAGGTGTCTGATGGGTGTACCAGAAGCAGTAGAAGTTTAGTACCTGGATGTTTGGGCAACCTAAGAGCCAGAATGCCAATCCAGGCATTTAAGGAGCCTGTGTGCCCAGATATTAGCATGGGGGTCTTTACCCAAAAGCTGGATAAAGAAGCATGAACTACAGGCACTCCTTCCTTTGGCTGTGTAGATGCAGCAATTAGATCAAGAAGGAAGCTCCAGAACTACTTTAGAGCTTAAACTCGAAATCTTAGGAGGATTAACTTATTTAGATGCCTGAGCATGTGCTTGAACTAGACTGTGACCTGGCCTAGCTCATAAGGATGCACTAACTCTGCTGGGTAGAGCTGTACCTGTGCTGAAGTGCCAGGAGCAGTAGGGTACTGTTGCCTTGTTTTCCAGCAGGCAACTATTTTGCCCCAACTGATCATAGGCACGGGGTTTCCAAAGAACCATTTTAGCAAGAATGTTTTTACAGGGTTTACTTATTATTATTATTATTTTTTAAAGCAACAACAACACACTCACTTTATAAGAAATTTATTGCAAGCCTGGCAAAGTGCCATGCAAAATACGAACAGAAATTAGGGAGGAAAAACAAACAAACAAACCAGAAATGGGACTCTGGCTGCTTTTGACTCTTCTAAATCAATGTAGTTGTAAGTCCACCCTCTTGAACTCCATCTGTGTGATGTGGTGCATGTTAGTATCAGCCTTCATCCTCACCACTCTCACCATCCATCCTTGTTCTCCGTTGGCATGTGGCTGGTGTGCAGGAAGCGCCCAGGGGAGAATTCCAGGCTTTGGCAGGGTTGGGTGCTGCGCAGGAGCTGGGGTGTGTGGCACATGTACAACCCTCCCAGGCTCTGTTACCACTTCTCCCTGTGGCCTTTAACCACTGAGACAAACTTTGCTTTTTTTGGCTATTAATGTTAGATTGACAGTGTCTACAGATGACTCCTTTGGAGAACAAAAGTCACAACTGTCTATTCCCTGAGTCAGAGGCGTTCAGCCCTTCAGAATATTGGGCTATGGATGTCTAAAGATCCAGTCCTAAAAGTCTAGGAAGTGATGGAAATTTGGATTTTTACTGCAGCTGGCCACAAATCTCCGTGGCCACATACCTCACTGTAATTTCTCTGCAGTCATGGCAGCCGTGTCGAATACAGCTTGGGATCCAACTCTGCATCTCTTGTCCTTGTGTTACAATGAGGGTGGGAGTACCTGCCTCCAAAACCACTTGTCAATAAGTAAATATCTCTCATGCTAGAGCATAAGTACTCCTCTGCAGTATTTATCACAGAACTACGGGAGATGGTCAAGGTGGCCTTTCAGTAACTGGTTATTTTTTAATGGCACATGGGGTTACTTATCTCAAAGGAAGGCACTAAGGGTTACAGTAACTGATGTTTCCGCAGTGCTTTAATGATGCTAAATGCTACGTATGGTTGTCTGTCCAGTAACATAGCAGAAAATAAAGTCCAAAGAGAAGTTTAAAATGTACATATTTTTTTACTTGAATAAACTTAAGAGAAACTGGATAATATCTTCATATTTGCTTGAAGATATGCAAGTGGACAGAAATCAACTGTGTTTCCACAACAGGAAAATGAAACCAGCTTTTGACTGCTCTCTTCTCTGGTACCGCAGCAGGTGGTTGTGTTGCAGTCCCTTACACTTTAAAAATTTGAAATCTGTTTTTCACTGTAATCTCTGTCAGTCATTCTTTTCCTTTCTAATACAAAATCCTTTTAAGATCGTGCTTTTCATCCCCTGTCTCAGGCCAAAGATTTCTAGAGTGAAATTAGTAGATTTCTTTATATGAGGATAAAAACCTTCCAACAATTTTCTCAGAGCTTTTATTAAGAAATGTGATACTTAGATAATGACCAAAGATAGAAATTTCAAACTTGGCTTGTTTAGAAAAACTCATTGATACTTAAGAAGTTGTCTTGGAATCTCTAAATAAGGACTTCTTTGTTAGAGCCCAACAGCTTTTTGAGTTTTACAAGGGATATGCTTCTACTGTTGAGCAGACTTTTTGGAAATATACTGGGAAAAAAAATTAAAACTTACATACATGTTTTCATTTTATACATCAAAAAAGATTATCTTGTAGGTCTCCATATTTTAGGGATTCCACCCCCCTGGAAGCTTTCTTGGATATACTTATATGTAAGATAATTTAAGAAATTCAATAAAACAGTTTTAACAGAGTGTTCTAGTTATAGACAGTCAAGTAAGACTTGTAAGCTAGTAAGACATCTCCCTCATGTGTAAGTACGTAGTATCAGGCCCTAATTTATATGGCTAGCAATAAAGATGTGAAAATGTACTTCTGAAATAATAAGAGTTGATTCTTCTGCAGTCTGCCAGAAGGTCAGCTTACTGCTATGATTATGAAGAACTTCAGTCTAATATTTATTTGTCCTCTGGTTAGTAATGTAGTGAGAGAGTAATGGTTTTTGCAGAACAAGAAGCCCAAAGGTCTATTTTGTGTCACTACACTCAGTTTCTCAGAACCAATGCATTTTTATAATTTATAATTTATATAATTCATATATAATTTATATTTTGTAATTATACCAATTTTGAATTTATCATGCGATACATTTATTTTTAATTGCATTCATATGGGAAACCTTTCCTCTTCTACTTACTGTGGAGAAAGTTGTTGAGTTCCAGGCAGGGTAAATTCCTATGGTTTGGTGCAGTCCACAGCAAATGTTTTGTACTGTTTTTTCAGTTACATCAGAGTGTTTTGTTATGATCCCTCAAGTTAGTTCTTCGAATCAAGCAAATTCCTATTGTTAAGGCAGGTAATTTCCTAGTAACGAATTTTATTGACCATCACAGTCTGGGCTATTCAAGATGATGGTGGTTGACAAGGTCCACCACCTTTTTAGAGGACATGACATCATTCTTTCCCCTTCTTTTTCCCCTTCTGCCTAAGAGGCTTTTTCCATTCCTAGCTGAAAATTAAAGACTTAAATAATTTGTTTGTGCCTTCTGGATATTCGAACAGAAGCAACAGCTTCTGGTGGCCACATGCCAGGAGATCCTGGACATGTCGAATGTGTGATGCTACAACGTGTGTGCAATGAGTTAGTTACATTTCAGGAAGGTGCCTGGGCTCTTACAGCTTGCTGGGACACATGCAGTAGATGTGGTGCACAAGGGCCTTGGTCTGAGAGGCTTCACAAACGCTGCCAGCTGTAGGGCACGTGTGGTGTGAAGCCCATGGGTTACTGCAATCATGATGCCAGGTCACTGTGTGCGTGTGTCTCCCAGAGTTTCATCAGGGCCACCATCTCTAGCTTGCCCGTAACTATATACCTGACCCCCAAACTCCCCAAATGCCATAGCAAACCTCCGTTCCTTCAGTTTTCCAGGCTCTGCTACTGGTCTGTCTCAGAGAAACCGCAGTTCAGATGAGTTAGTTGGAGTTGGCCTGGTGTAGGTGTGCATTTTGCCTAATACCTATGACGAGCAGCAGAGCTGCTATATACCCTGACAATACGAGCATTGCAGGTGCCAAGTGTCACCCTGTGAGAACTCCGAATTACCACAGTGTCACATATTTCTGGGGAAAAGTGCATAAGCTCTTGCTGCTGGGAAGTCTCCTGGCTGGACACGCCGCGCTGCTTTCCAATGCGTCGGCGTTTGAAACGAAGCCTGGGTTTGACAGGAGCAGGACACAGGACACTTCATTGCTGTGCTGGGTGGGTGGCATGGAAAGGAATGGTTTTGTCTCGACAGCAGGAAGCAAATTCCTCTTCAGAGGGCCAGCCCTTCCTGTTCAGGGGAACTGGCCTTCTGCGCTGTGCTGCACAAGGGTGAGCTCCTCTTCAGCATCTAGATGTCGTTTCCCTGGTACCTGTTTAAGCTTATGTTTTGTTCATCTGGGTTTCTTCTTTTCCTCCAGGTAATACACTTTCTTCACCACTTTTATCCTGGTGAAGGGCGAAAAGGGTTTGATCTTTGTAAGATTTGTTAAAATATTTTTGTGTTTATAAGACAGCTGACGTATAAAGAAATAAGTGCTTTTGTAAAATTTTGGTTGTATGATTCAGCATTTAAATATTTTACAGATGCAATTTTTTGCACTCTCTCTGCGTACATTCATAAAAGTATATATTTATTTTCCATCTTTGAGATTTACTTCATTTTTTTCTTCTGATGTTACAAAATGCAGTATGTGCAACATTAAAAAAATTAGTGAAAAGACATTGATCTCATTTTGTTGTCTGTCTTTACAAAGATTAACATTTGGTTCAAAAATATGGGAATAAATCAAATAAATCTGGGGTGCTCATAGAAGTTTTGAGAATAAACAAGGATAGATCAGTATCTTGACTCTTACCTGCTTTCTAAAACGTAAATGGCGTTAAGCTGTTAGCAGTACCTCCCCTGGGCTCCTTAACAGCCTTTGAGATTTGTGTAAATCCATTTACAGAGAGTGGGGCAAGCTCTAGCTTAGCTCCTGTGTGCTGCTGCGGCGTTTCAGTTTTCTCTCTGCAGGTGGGGTGCGGGATTACTGTAAACCTGGCCCCTTGCATGTGCTGGTGTGGACCAAGACCTGGGGCATACCAGGAGCAGGCAGAGCTACCTGTGAGTGGGGGACCCACGGAAGCTGCAGTAGGGGAAGCTTGCTGCTTCCAAGCCCCCCTCCTCATCCATTGCTCCCTCAACTCTGCCTGTCCTTGCAGAAAATTGGGGCCTCATGGTCTGTGTTGCCAAAAGACATAATGAACCATTACACTCAGCTGTGTCATTTCAGATAAAAATGCTCCTTAGTGTTCTTGCACACCCATATCCTACTGTGTTTACAAGGGACAATCGCAGCTATGTTTTTGAGCATCAAATATTAAGGTGATGCTTACTATTAAATACTTCCTGGTGTCATTTTATTTAAACACAGCCATTTTATTTATTGAGTTGGCTATTTTTTTTTTTTTTTAATCGAGAATGCTCTGGTTTTGTTCTGTCAATGTGCAACAATGCCATGGCAATGCATTGGCCCAGACAGTAACATGCATGACACATTGCAGCAGACTGAATACTTCCAGCACAGCAGTTTTCCATCAGAGGATCTTGCTGATGATAGAGGAACCGGCATTGTGGTGGGAACGTGTCAATTCCATCAAACTCCCAATGGAAACCAGCTGTTGGCAGCCAACATGCCTGGTGCCCTGCCAGCCCACCAGCTGCCGATGGTGGGCAAGCTGCCCGGCTTCCCACCTGGTAGATGAGTGAGTTGCCGGCTCCTCACCTTGCAACTTCAGGAAAAAAAATGTTTTCCAAGGCAAAAATTCAACATTTCTGAATTTCTCTGCAATTTTTAAAATTCCAGATCAGACAAGCATGAGCAATTTTCAGCTAAGCAGAAACTGTAGAGGCACCACAACTCCTGTGTGGTCACAACTTCTTCTACGTGCACTTGTTACTCAGTAGAAATGGGAACTACCTACCACGTTCAATTCACTTTCTTAATGTGAGAAGGGAACTAGCACTCACCATTACGCCTGCCAACCCAAAAATCTGATCAGGTTTTCAAAAAAAAAAGAAAAAAGTTAATAGCTTTGAATTTGATTTGTTTCCAGCTTCAGTGTACATTTTTCTCCCCAGTTCCAGTATGTGTCATAAAGGCCAGTTTTCTTCAATGAGTAGTGGCTTATTTCAGGGTTATTTATGACTAAGCCCCTGGATTTTAAACTTCCTTTTTTTGTTTTGTTTTGTTTTGTTTTTGAGGTTACACAAGATGTCCTTTACCTTAACTCCTTAACTTGTATGTACGTAACAGCTATCTGCCCACCCATGCCCATATCTCTTTCTGTGTTGGGGTGAGTGTTGACTTAAACATTACCTTCAGCCCTATCTGTCCTTCCAGTTTGACAAACGTCACCCATGTCAGTCTCACAAAACACCTCCTGAGGTCTCCCAGCGAGAAGCTGGTGTTTTGTTCTGGTGTGACCCCGTGGGTGATGCCTGTCCACCCTATAAGGGTCCTATCATGCTTTTTCATGTGGCCTGTGACTTCATGGGGTTGTTTCCTCCTCTGCAGCAGTCAACGGCCTCCAAGACAGCTCGGAGGAGGTGGTTTCATCTACTCGTAGAGTCATTAAGGCCAGGTTCATCCCACCAGAGTGAAATGCCACGGTCAGGACATACATGTACATGTAGGTCCCTGCTGGTATCTTCAGTGCTCGCCCCTGTGAGGTGACCCAGTTCACTGCTGTGCTGACCCATCTTTTGGGGGTGCCTCCTCTCTCCTTACACGGAGGACACCCAAAGGATCTGTGCTTCTATCTCCCATGCCTTAGCGGTGCTGCAAAGTCAGCTGTGGCCAGCACAGTTTCTGCTGTGAGGCGGCACATAGTGTCCAACAGGCAACTCAAAGCAGCAAGCCTGTTGTGATATTCAACAAGAGCAACAAAATCCTTTCTTGTTGCTCATTTCCCTAAACTGAGCTTTAGCAGGGCTACCAAACAGAGTATCTGTGCTTTAAAATCAGGTGGGAATGCTGGACTACCTGCTGGGGACAGAGTTTGAGTAACAGCCCAGTGCTCACACCTGCCCAAAGACATGCCTGTGTTTTATCCACAAAGGGACCAAGCACAAGAACCCCTGGTTTTCTTCAGGCTGAAAGTTTGAAAAACACTTTTTTTTTTTTTTTTTCCCCTTTTCTCTTTTTTTCTAATACCATGCAGTAAAGAAACAAACAAACGAGTAATTCCTGATGCTGAGCTCCTATTAGAACAATCCATTAGCAGGCACTGTTTGTAATTTGCCAGTCTTGCCTTACCAAGAGCCATGTCAAAGACAAAATATCAGCCTTTGAGAAAGCCTTGAGGACTGGTCAATTAGTGAGTAATTAAGTTTTTCTCTGTCTTGGCTAATGAATTGAATTTAAGCCCAGATGAGTGGCTGTGCCTGTAGCAGCTTGTGCTGCTGCCTGTCATGGGAGGAAGGAGACTCCTGCTACTTCAGCAGCTGCTCCTTTTGCAGATGGTCCTGGAAGTCACAGCGAGTAAGGAAGCAGCTCCTGGGAGTGTTATCGTGCTAGTTTTGTAGTGTCCGTGGCACTACTGTGGTATAATGCTACTTTTAAAACACAAACCTTATGGAAAGGAAGCTTCTAGCTTTGTTCAGGCTAAGAGTATGGATGCCTGAGGTGTGGGAGGCCTAGGGGCCTCTAGCCCGTGTCATCCATAAGTTTTGATACCACCACAGAAGGAGCAATCTCTGGCTCCTTGGGGGCATTGCCCTAAAGGTGATGATAGGGATCCCCTGTATCTTATCTATTTGCTTAGGCATGTGTGTATTTTTTCTAATCTGGGGCTGCTGCCTGTGTACCACAGGTAGCTTCTTGGAGGAAAAAATTGCTGCTCACCTGTTAGCTAAAGGCATCCTGATTAAACTCCACCAGGTAATTACAACCTGCTCGCTAATCCTAACCATGAAGGAGGGTGCTATCTCGTAAATACTCCTTTCATCTGGGCTGAAGTGGGTCAGCAACACCTTCACTGACATCTGTGTGCTCAGAGACTGTGGCACTGAGCTGTGTGCGTTGCTGTGTCCCCTGACAGGGACCCTCATGGCTTGCACAGAGTTGGGAGCAGGGCTCCTCCACAATGAGCTGAAAGGAGAACGCTGTCGATGCTCTCTCATACGCTAGGTGTGACTAGCATATATGTAAATAGCAGGAGATAACTCTGTGAGAAATAAGGATGTATCAGCTAATTTAAAGTGAAATCCTAATTCTAAGCTTCTGGTGGCCTGTGATCCCTTGAAGCATTTTGGTCACTCTTCACAGCTGCGGCTTGGGTTCAGACATTTTGGACACCTCTGATGTGTGCCCAGACCCACTTAAAATCATGGGAAGGCTTTTCAGTATAAACAATAAATAGCAGACAAGTGTTTTGCTGGATTGAGTCCTGTGGCAGCAGCACAGCACCCCAAGATCCCTCTCCCCCTCCTCTGGGAAGGCATCAGTGTCTGAGACTTGGGGTTTTGTGTTGGTGTATATCCATGATATTCATTAAGCTGATGTCACGTAGGAAGTAGCAGCACCGGTGGTGGTTAGGACTACTTACAGCCTTGGCACTGAGGTATTATTATAAAACCCATTATTCACAAGCTATCATTACACAATCACAGATAATGACAATTATATAAATGCTACTGCATTACCTATCTATTTATTTTTATGCACATAATGACTTCAAAACACCTCAGATGACTGGCTTCTTCTCAGAAGTGATTATGCTTCAGCATGAGTGAGACTAAAACATAGAGCAACTGTCCAAGGTCTAGGGAAGTGCAGCAGTGATAAGGTGGTGGGGCTGCAGAGGGCACTGCTTTGCTTGGGGAAGGTGAAAGCTGCTATTTCAGTGGGAAGTACTGGGGCCAGGGAACCGATGCTCTGTTGTGAGAGCCACTTATGTGGCGGGACTTGGTGCTGGTGCAAAGACTCCTTTATAGCCTGTGGACTCCATAAAGCAGCATATATCTATCATAGGTTCCTCCCCAGGAAGTTTTCTTAAAAAACACAAAAACACCAACACAAAACAACAAAACAGATGCTAATGTGCTAAAATGAAACATTATTTTAAATAAACTGTTCATCTAGATGCTACTTTATTTGTTTCTTGCTATATTCTTTGTATATAACTTGCTTCACGTGCTTCAGGAAATCAAGTGGGGAAAGATGTACAGATCAAGCTAGGGAACAAAAAAAAAGAGCTAAATGATGTGTCTGATGTAGTATTCTGATGTTTTTTTTTGTTGTTGTTGCTGTACAGACACAAATGCAGCACGGTAAGTCCTTGGGCACCATTCAGTGCACCTCTGGTATTAGCTGGTGATGTTGAGGATCACAATCAGTTCGCCCTGAGGTGAAACAACCCACCACCTTACTTCCACCTTACTTACACCCTTCTGGAGCATGGGGCTTGTGATGTGTGAGAGGAGCAGTCACTGCTGCTGAGTGAACTTATGCAGAGGGGAAAGTGAGTATGGGAAGGGAGAAGGGGACTAAGAGAAACAGTGTCATAGAGATGGTTTGTACCTCTGTAGAGTCTGCTAATCTGTCATACCCCCATCAGTGTTAGTGCAAGTGGTGCTCCATCACCCCTGCTTCCAGGAACCTGTGGAGTCACCTGAAATGCTGTGTGATGAGAGGTATTTGATTGTTGGCTTGGGTCACAGCTCAGCTCCTGCAGGAAGG